TGCAACTCGTCCCTGTGAGTTTGTGGGATAAACTCCTCCAAGAAAAGAACTGACAACTAAGACCACGTGAGTGGTTTTGCACCAGCTGGCCTACTCGACTCATAAGTCATCCACCACCTATATGCTGGCCCTAACAACTGGAAGGTAGTAAAGTCAACCACGTTAGACTCCACCAGACCCAAAGTGCTCAGAATACAATGACACTGATCAAAGAAGTCATATGCATCCTCAGTAGGCTCTCCATTAAAATGGGGAGGACGAAGTATCTGATACCTCTTCATCCTCTTTTTCTCCTTAGTAGTCAAGGCTGACCCTATACCGGGCTGAGTTGCAACGACTGGCTGCACCGGTAGAACACTCGAGGTCTAAATCATGAATCAACTGCTCTGTGTACGTGCGACAGAATTTTGGGCCCTTCCCCTAGCCTGTGAAGTTGCTGGTACAACTAGAATCAATCCCACCTAGGTCAAGATCTCAAACACACTCATAATGTGAACCAAAGTCTCCTGAAATCCAAGGTGTAGCAGTAGGTCCCTCCAGTGCTTGAGTTGGTCCCACCTGCTCAACATGATTGGGCACCTGCTGCTCAGTTGGAGCTACTGTGGTACCATAGTGGTTGCTTTAGAAGGACCTCTAGCTGCGGCGCATGCCCCATATCAGCCCCAACCTCTTATGGCTCTGACAGGGGGCACTGGTGCTTGCTCAGCTGCTCTCGAAGAATGTGTCCTCTCCATTTGTGAGAGAATAAAAGTGTAAAGGTTCAAACTTCGGAATAAACAAATCTGCACGACAAATAATGAAATAAATTGAAGTCTTCCTAACAGTCTGGTAGCCTCTCGAAGATAAGTACAGACATCTCTGTACCGATCTGCAAGACTCAACTAGACTTGCTCATGACCTTTAGAAGAACCTAGGACTCTAATACTAACTTGTCACGACCCAAAGCCCCACCAAAGGCCGTGATGGTACATAACCTCCATGCTAGGTGAGCCAACATACGATAAGGATTCAAAATAACAAAATGAGATGTTAAAAAGTCTGAATATTAAATAGCAGAATAACACTCAAATAATAGCCAATATAGTGATACATAGTGTCGAACTCCCAAAATTAGATAGTACAAAGTCATGAGCTCTATAAATCGAATACAATAAGATATTGCAATAGCACAATACTGTCTGAATGTATAAATTAAAGTATAAAATAAGGTAAAAGGGACTCCAAGGGTTTGTGATGGTCATGCAGCACTACCGTGAATCCTCTCAGTCAACAAATGTGCTCACTCCCGAGAACTGCTGCCAATGCCCGGATTTGCACAAAAATATACAAAAGAGTAGTATGAGTATGGCACAACGTATACTAACCTCGGTGAAGTAGTGACGATGTTCAAGTCATGTAATACTCACTAATAAAAGAACCTATGCACTATACATAGTAACTTGCAACAAGTATATCAAAATGCAATATCATCAACTTATCAAATCAAGAGATATTAACTTAACATAGGTAAATCATCACCAATAACAGAGGCATAGAGTAGTAGCATGTTGAAATTTTACATAGAAGCATATAAAATTCATAACAAGGCATAAATAATTCACTTGTATGGACAAGCTTCCACCCTTAAACTCAACTCACCATTATCAGATTCTGTATCAGAATCCACCAACTTCAGTTAATTTACCACAATCCGCGTGTACGCCGAAACATGAGAGGGCGACCCTAGGAAAATGGGTTCAATGCACAATTTAACATACTCGTGCAAAACAGTAATATATCATCATAACTGCATAGCAAAGATCTCGTGTCACAATATCATCAACATCATAATATCCGCATGGAAGAGGCCTCATTCCACAATATCATCAACACCATAATATTCGAACGAAAGAGACCTCATGGCAACGCCAAATCAACCCGCTCAATATGTCCATACGTGCCATAAACATAAAAACTAAGATACCAATTTATGACAAAAGAAACATATGCTCACAATTCATCAATAAGGTGTACAAGGACATAATAATAATAATAATAATAATAATAATAATAATAATAATAATAATAATAATAATAATAAAGTGCGGATGTGTGCTCAAGATGTGAAACATGACTATAGCTAAAATAAATATAGCAACACTTTCACAATAACCCATCTTGAATAATTAAGAGATAATAGTCCTGAATATAATCTCTAGCACGAAAGGATGAGCTCATGTAATCATACACAAGATCACACATGTATCATAGAGAGCACACAATCAAAATAAGGCATATAGAAATCTAAAGCTTAATCCGCATATTTCATATATAACACCCCCATATACGCTCGTCACCTCGCATATACGTCGCTTTACACACATCACAATTAGACAAATAAAGTCTGATCCTATGGTTATCCCATCACACAAGATTAGGCAAGATACTTGCCTTGACAAGCCCAATTTTAACCTTCTAAAATAGCCATTTCCTTAGAACCCACATCTGACCGGCTCGAATCTAGTAAAAAATAACTTAAAAACATCAAACAAAGCATATGAATCAATCACAAACAATAAGGATTTAATCTTTAATCAATTCCCAAAAAGTGAACAAAAGTCAATATGGATTAACATGGTCAAAATTCGAGACAAGGGTAGATCTCAACTACCTATAACCCCACGAGACCAAATACATATTTATATTCCAAAACTAAGTCCAACTTATAGCTCAAAACCTCAATTTTTACTCTCTTAAGTTGTAGGAAAACTCCCCAAATATTTCTCAAATTTTATATTTTTGAGTGTTGTTAATTCTATTAGATTAAATAATAATAAAATGTGTAGAAATCACTTACCCCAAAGCCTTGTGCAAAAATCTCCAAGACAAAATCGTCTCTCTCCAAGTTTAGGTTCAAATTTTGGGAGAATAAGCTAAAAATCCCGAAATTTAAGTCTGTCCAGCAATTTTCGCATCTACGAACAAACAGGTTACTTCCGCGATGCCGCATTTGCGACAAAACCATCGCAGATAAAAGATCCACTAAACAACCGACCCATCAGTTCTACGGAGCTCACCTGCATCTGCGGAAGCGCTACTACGCACACACCTTCACACAAGCAGCTCCGCATCTGTACAACTTCAACACAGATGCGATCCACCTGGGCCACTACCAAACTTGCTTCTGCGAACCAAAAATTATGTGTATGCAGCTCCACAGGTGCGATTGCACCAGATCCCTAACAGCCAGCAATGTCAGCTTTCACCAATCTAGACCGGAATCAATCTGAAACATACATGAGCCTCCCGTGACCCTCCTAATTACACCAACAAGTCCATAAATACTCCTCAGATCTATCCAAGGTCTCCAAACACCTACGATAATATCACATCAATGAAACAAGGATCAAATCACGAGTTGAACTTCTCTTAAGTTCAAGAACTTGTAAACTTCCAATCAAGCATTCGATTCGAGCCTAACCAATCTGAATTACATCCAAACTTTGCACACAAGGTTTGAATAACAAAACGAACCTATTTCAAATTTTGGAACAATAATCTGAATCAAATATCAATAAAGTCAACTCCCGGTTAAACTTAGGAACTCTCCAAACCTGTAAATTGCCAACTTTCGGCAAATAGAGCCAAAACATTCTAGGAACCTTCAAATACAAATCCAAACATATGCTTAAGTCTAAAATTGCCATATGAACCTATTGAAACCATCAAATCACCAATCCGAGGTCGTTCAACAAAAGATAAACCTTGATCAACTCTTACAACTTAAGCTTCTAACAATAGAACTAATTGTTCAAATCCACTCCCAAACCTCCTCGAAACCAAGCCAACTATCCCCTTAATTCACAAAACAACAAATAAGCACATAAAAAATATTAAATAGGGAATCGGGGCTCGAATATACAAAACAACCGGTCGGATCGTTACAATATCATCAAACTCAAAGCTAAACATTCAAAAATCACTTAACTTATTCAGAAATTTTCAAAAAACTTTAGTTCGATAGTTAAAATCTGCGATGTAATATTGAACTAGGAATATATTATTATCTTGTAATAATGGATTTTCTTTAAAGTCCAATTATGATTTGAAAATACATGATTGTCCAATGGAAAATAAGGAATGTGTAGATTTGTTAATTAAATTAAATTAATTAATTTTCTTTATCTGGATTTCCTCATCAATAATTTTCACTTAAAACATATGAAAGTCAGGAGAATCTTAACCTTTTAATAAAGTCAAAAATAAAAAGTGAGATATCCTACTTCTAGATTGGATCTAGTTTAAATTGCTCATTTAAATTAATGAAAGTAGGCATAAATGAAAGTTCTCACAGTTTTACGAGAAAGAAGGTTGATTAAGAGAGAAGAAAAAAAGATGGCGATAAGACCCAAGAAAGAACATTTTGAGATCCCCAAGCGTGGGCATAAGTGTAATCAATTAAAGTACTATAGTGTGGTATTACCCCAAAAAGCATCAATAACATCTGGCGGATGTGAATCTAATCCTTTTAAGGAATCTCATAAATCGAATTACTATTACTTTTCCTATCCAAGCGCTTTCTAAGTTACAGTGCCCATAATTACCTGACACGTTTTTTTTTTTTTTTTTTTTTTTGTATTCTTACTCTACTTTAGGACATCAGTTTACTTGTTTTAAGTTTTTGAAAAACTTGAAAATTTGAATAAACAAAAGTTTGCAACAAAACATTTGTTTGCAAAGGTTCAAACAATATTTTTCTCCAAAAACCACAAAGAAATCGAGTTTAGAATTTCCATTTTTGCAGAATCTAAAACAAATTGAAGTACACGTGATAAAATTTTGAATCTGAACCCATAATTTAAATTCTAAATGTGCATTTGATTGCCTGATATGTCTCTACATAAATGTATGCTCTCCCACTAATTTAAGATTTGTAAATTAGATAATTTGGTGTTTGTTTGTTAGAGTTTTAAAAGGTTGGCCTTTAATTATTTTTTTTGAAAATAAACCTTTTTAGACAAAAACAGTTCAAACAAACAGCGTGTATATCCCGAAATATACGTACCTTATATCATGCCCATTGTATTGTATAATGTATAGTGAAGACTGATGCCCATTCAAAGCTGCATTTAATAAAAGTAATTCACATTTGTCTCCACTTTAACAGTTTTAGTCACATTGACCAACCGGAGAATAAATCAAAAATGCGGATGCAGATGGGGGCAAAGGAGAGTGAATGAGAAATGCAATGGCTTGCGAGGAAATGAAGTTTTCACTTTCACGGCTGCTCATCACTCTGCTCTTATCACCTTTCAGTATTTTTGTAAGCTTCTTCTCATTCTTTCTTTTAATTTTTTGGGTTTATTTTCTTGCGTCTCATTTGCTCTCCTTTGTCTTAGTCATGTCCATTTTAATTGGTGATTTTGCTTAATGGGAACTGCTTGATATGTTTGACAACATTTCAAATTGATTAGTTGTTTGATCCAAATTATCAAAAGATTGATCTTTTGTGCAGCATTTATTCACGTCCATTTGCACAAACTCTTTGACTTTCTGTGGTGGGGTTTATAAATCTTGATGGTTAAACATCATTTGGTGTTCTCCACTCTCATTTTACCAATTGACAAGTGTAGTGGAGGAGCCAGATATTTTCACTTAGGGGAGTCAAAATACAAATAAGTAAACACAGGAAGAAGCCGAGGGGATTTAACATATAGTTCCGGTGACACCCCTTGGACAAAGGTGGCAACGCCTGCGTGACGCCTTAAACTGTTCGTTTTAGAAGTTGCCTGATTTGCGATCAGTGGCGAAGCCAGGAATTTCTCCAAGGGTATTTCAACTTGAAATAAGTATTAAAAGAAATCTCGACAAAGGGTGTTCAATATATATTATATATCTCTAAATCCTAATACTTTACCTATATATGAAAGTGGTCAACTGACCACCCTTACAAAAGTGTAGCTTCGCCTCTGTTTGTGATGTATCCCACAGTTTGTTTAGAATCTTTCTTGTTTTGATTGTGATACTTCTGTCAATTATGATGTGCTTTCCATTTCTATCTACACACATTATTATTCTGGGGCCAAATTGATAAAGACTTGCATGTATTTGGCGTTTTCCAGATTGCAGCTTCTTAGCTTTACCTTCTGATTAATAAAGAATTACAGTGTCTTTGGTGGTCCATACCTGGCACAGAAGCAGAGTAGGTGTGGTGCAATGCTATATTGATGTCATTATCCATGTTCTCATAGTTTCAGGTCTTGATCCTTTATTAATTCAAAATTGTTTTCTTTAGCTGTTCTGTTGGCTAGGTGAGAGAACTGAAGCTGCTAGACCTTGATAATTGAGCAATATAAAGTTCTGACACTGGCGTGGATTCACAATTTCTTTTACTGGTATAAAGACCAGGATGTTGCAAGGACAAAACCTATTGCCCTTTTGTTCTTTGCTGGAGTCATGGCGACCTTGCTACATTCTGACACGAGACGCTTGTACTCTTGGTGGTGGGATAACCATATTCCAAAAAACTCAAAATGCTTTCAAGAAAATCTTACTGGTGAGGAGCTCTCCACTTGGATTTCTTCTGCTTCTTCTTCTTCTTCTTCTTCTTCTTCTTCTTCTTGGCCTTGCAGAAATATTCATTCTGAATAGATTTCCATGTTATGTCTTCCTCAGGAGAAGCAAACTTCATGCCATTTGATTGTTTGAATTTGGTACTTGTTATTTTGATGTTAAGCTTTTGTTTGAATTAATGAAATGATGGTGTCTTCTGGTCTTACGAAAACTTGGTATGCCGCTTTGCACTGACAAGATATGTTCTGTGGGGTGTATGAAGACCAATCGATGCAAAAAAAGGAATTTTGCATGATAATCATGGCTATGGAGAGTTATTATAACCTATTCTGTGCAAATGAATTGAGAAAAGCACTATCTCTTCTCCTTGTCTCCCTCTGTACATCTATGAGTTTTTGAAAACATATATTTTGATCTTATAATTGGAAGTGATAGAATGTCAGTGATGGAAGGCTTGCCTTGAGTCTTCATTCATGCGTGTATGCATAAGAAGTTGCTAGAACCTAGATATTTATGTGTTTTTTATAGGGAAAGTGTATCAAATGTCTGTATGCAATTTGTGCCTGTGAGTGGATTACCAGCATGAGGTATGAGGGTGGAATCTGATGTGTTGTCTATCAGGTGGTCCTGTGCTTGAATATGCATAGATCTGTTATTCCTTTATCTTGTAAAGATGGATCTTTACTTTAAACTAGCAGATAAATTGGTTACAAGTTACAACCAAGCCGATACTCATATCTGGAGCAGTTGTTCCTTTCTGCATTACATACAATCTGATAAAAGGGCAGATAATCTGCTAGGCGTCTCAGATTTGTTGCTGTCCCTTTTTGCAGAACTGGAACCCGGATAATTAGATTGATTTTTATTTATGCGTGCTACTTGCGAATTTTGTCGCCTGTGATCATTTCTAATTTTGTCCAATCTTGTATGAATTCCGCACATCCATATTAACATCCACATTTCTACGACACTCATCTTGTGGATATGTTGAACCTACTGGCCCAACTGTCACTCCCATATAACGTGTCTGGTCTTACAACCATTTTATAGAACATGCCTTTCACTTTGGTAAATATCCTCTTAACGCATAACATACAATTAGTACTTTTCCATTTAACCATCCTATTATGATTGTATGTGTAATATCTGCATCTATCACAGTTCTCCTGAAAGATCTGCTCTGAATAACTGAGTTGTTTGTATTTAGGGACCACAATCGCGTCTAATTTAATCTCAACCGCACCCTTTTTGTGTTGTCTAAACTTGCAGTGTCTATATTCACTCTCGCTTCTACGTATCTACAACATTTTCTTTACAATGCTTCTCCATAGTCAAGGTTTTGTTTGACACCCTTATTAGTTTAGTCAATTAACACAATATCGTCTGCAATTAGCAGACAGCATGAGACCTTATCTTGTATATTGTTAGTTAGCTGATCTATAACTAAGGTAAACAAGTGCGGGCTCAATGCGGATCTCTGATGTAAAAGTACAGTAAAAGGGAACTCCTTTTTATCTCTTACCACTGCTCTTGCACTAGTGACAGCTCCTTCATAAATCCTTTATTGCATTCTATATATTTAATATGAATTCCTTTCTTTTCCAATACCACCAAAGGGCTTCTCTTAGCAACCTATAATATGATTTCTCTAGGTCAATGAACACCATTTGTAGGTCCTTTTTCTTCTCCCTGTAAATTTTCATTGCAAGAATACAGCCTCCATTTTAAATTTGCCAGGTATAAATCGAAAAATGATTCCAGCTCACTTTTGAAGTGTCCCTAAGTCTATGCTCTATCACTTTTTCCCAAGCTTCAACGTATAGCTCGTGAGTTTGATGCCATGATAATTCCTGCTACGTTGAATATATCATTGTATTGTCTTCTATATGTGGTACTTGGAAAATTATGCATAAGTTTCTTGTGATGCACTTGTTTGTAAAATCTCATTGAGGAACTTAACTTGTTTCGCATCTTATTTCAACAGAAATGGATGCTAAAGTAAAGTCAATGATCAAGCTCATTGAAGAAGATGCCGATTCATTTGCAAGAAGGGCTGAATACAAAAAGAGGCCTGAGCTAATGAAGCTGGTTGAGGAGTTGTACAGGGCATACAGGGCACTAGCTGAAAGATATGATCATGTGACAGGCGAGCTAAGGCAGGCCCATAAAACCATGTCAGAGGCATTTCCTGACCAAGTGCCTTTTCTACTGGCTGAAGATTCACCCATGAGATCTTCCACACAGTATACAGAGCCACATACTCCACGAGAGTGGTGCCCGATTCATGCATCCTCTGACACAGATAACTTGCAGCAGGATGTGATGGGTTTAACTCCATCGAGTATACATGCTGCACAGAAGATTGGGACTTATACTGGTGATTCTGATAAGGGAACAAGTGAGTGGGGTTTAAAGCAGTTACTTGAGATGCTTGGGGCTGGAGAAGAAATGTTAAAAAACTCAAAGTTCCTCGAAGGAAAATTGAGCAAAGGATTGAACAGAAACACAGAAGAAAAGGAAAAACGTTTCCATAATCAAGTACCCGAATTGTCAGATGAGAATGAGAATCTCAAGGCCAAAATCCTCGTTCAGTCGGAGCGTGTCAGTGAAGCTGAAGCTGAAGTTCGAAACCTGAAGGAAGCCCTAGCTGGTATGCAAGCAGAAAAAGAAACTACCTTCATTCAGTATCAGCAATGCCTGGAACAGTTATCTGCTGCAGAGAGGGAGCTTATTAGTGCACAGAAGGATTCCACGAAGTTCAGTGACCGAGCTAGCAGAGCTGAAAATGAAGTTCAGAAGATGAAGGAATCCCTTATCAAATTAGAGGTTGAACGAGATGCTAGTTTGAGCAAACATAAGGAGTATCTTGGAAGGATATCTAATTTGGAAGTTAATGTTAGTCAAGCACTTGAAGGTACAAAAGAACTAAATAAGCATGCAATTAAGGCAGAAACCGAAGCTCAGAATCTTAGGAATGAGATCTCTAAGTTTGAGTTTGAAAAGGATGCTGTCCATCATCAATATAAGCTATGCATGGTAAAAATATCTGACCTTGAGAAAAATCTCTTGGTGGCTCAGGAAGAATCCAGAACGCTTAAGGAGAGAGCTGATGGAGCTGAAGCTGAGATCAAGAAACTGACATTTGTTCTGATGGAGCTAAGTGAGAACAAAGAAGCTGCTGTCCGTGACTATAAACACTGTTTGGGCAAAATATCCAAACTTGAGAATGAACTATCTTGTGCCCAAGAGGATGTAAAACGCCTTAATGGTGAGCTTTCAATAGGAGCTGCAAAGCTTAAAAATGCTGAAGACAAGTGTGTTGTGCTGGTGATGTCAAATCATTCATTGTGCCGAGAGGCAGATAATTTGGCAATGAAGATCGCAACGAAAGATCAAGAACTCTCTAAGAAGCAGATGGAGTTGGAGAAAATTCAAGTTGATATGCGAAATGAGCACTTAAGAAATGCACAAATTGAAGCCACCCTTCAGGCTCTGCAGAATTTGCACTGTCAATCACAAGAAGAGCAGAGAGCTCTGACCGTGGAACTCAAAAATGGTCTTGAGCTGTTGAAGGATATGGAAACATGCAAAAATAGTTTGGAAGGTGAACTTAAGCGATTGAAGGATGAAAATAAGAGCCTGAATGAACTGAAATTATCCTCAACCAATTCGATAAAGAATCTGGAAAATGAAATCCTTAGCTTGAAGAAGATGAAGGCGAAACTTGAAGAGGAGGTTGCTCAACAAGTTGGACTAAGTAACAACCTTCAGCAAGAGATTTCATGTTTGAAAGAGGAAACCAAGGACCTAAACAGTAGCTATCAGGCTTTAGTAGAGCAAGTGAAGGCCACAGGTATAAACCCTGAATGTATCAACTCTTCAATAAAGAGCTTGCATGAAGAGAACTTCAAGCTCAGGATAATCTGTGAGAAGACCAGAAGCGAGAAAGAAGTCCTCCACAAAAAGTTGGAAGACATGGATGAACTTTTGAAGAAGACGGCTACTTTACAGAGTTCCCTCTCAGATGCAAATGATGAATTGCAGGAATCGCAGGAAAAGGTGAGAGCACTGCAAGAGTCTTGTCAAATTCTCAATGGAGAGAAATCTACTCTTGTCACTGAAAAAGCTGCTTTGCTTTCTCAGTTGCAAATTGTAAGTGAGAACATGCAGAAACTCCTAGAGAAAAATGATGTTCTCGAGAACTCTTGTTTTGGTGCAAAAGCTGAACTTGAAGGTCTAAGGGAAAAGGCCAAGGGTTTAGAAGAGATATGCCAATTTATGATGAATGAGAAGTCCAATATTCTTGCTGAAAGAGGTAACCTAGCTGTTCAGTTGAAAAAAGTTGAAGGGCGACTGGGGACAACATTTATGGTTTTCGAAAAAAGGTATTCTTGCCTAGAGAAGGAGAAACTAGTAAAACAGCTACAAGTTGAAGAACTTAGAGTTTCTGTTGAAATGGAGAAACAAGAAAGGACCAACATTACTCATCAGAGGGAGACCGGATTAATTTACATGGAAAACCATATCCATCACCTGCAGGAAGAGAGTAAGTGGAGGAAGAAAGAATTTGAAGAAGAATTTAACAGAGCTTTAAAATCCCAGTTTGAAATTTCCATCCTGCAGAAGTTTTTACAAGATATGGAAGAAAAGAATTATTCTCTCTTGATTGAGTGTCAGAAACATATTGAGTCATTGAAATTGGCTGACAAACTGATTTTAGAGGTAGAGAATGAGAGCCTTGAACAGCAGGTTGAAGCAGAGATTTTGGTAGATGAAATCGTAAGGTTGAGAATGGTGATATATCAAGTTTTCAGGGCCTTTGAAAATGATTCTCACCTTTTGTCTGAAGATAAGGTGGAAAATGAACAAACTTTCCTGCATCATATCTTGGGCAGTGTTGAGGATCTGAAATGTTCCCTCAGAATGTATGAGGATGATAAGCAGCAGTTGTTGGTCGAAAACTCAGTTCTTTTAACTCTATTTGCGGAGCTGAAATCAAAGGGCCTGGAAGTGGAGTCGATGAAGAAATCTGTGGAGGAGGAGCTTAATATCATGGAAGAGAAGCTGGTAACAGTGCAGAAAGAGAATCATGACCTAGTAGAGATAAACAAGAAATTGCAGTCAGAAATGAGCAGCAGTAGTCAACTAACTGCCATACTTGAGGTGGAGGTTCGGACTCTCTGTGTCAAGCATGATGAGTTGCAGACAGCTTACCTTGAATTACAAAAGAAATACTCTCAAGTGCTTCATGAGAACGAAACATTGTTGACAAAATTCTCAGAGATCAAGGAGGAGAAAGGGGTAGTGGAGCAGGAAAATGATAGTTTTCTACTTGAGACACTAACTCTTGGTAATTTCTCTACGATTTTGAAGAGTTATGGTACTGAAAAAACTGATGAGCTAAAGTCCATTTATGAAGACATGCGCAAACTTTATTGTGTTATCCTTGACTTTGAGAAGGAGATGGATGTACTTAACGAGAAGCTGGAAATGAAGGAAACTGATAACCTACTTCTGAAGAAATCAGTTCAAAGGTTAGAAAATGAGCTTTATGAGGTCAAGGAATCTAATGATCATTTGAAGCTGGAAATATCAACTGGAAAAGAACTTCTTGGCAAGCAGGAAGCCGGGCTTTTGAAAGCAGGAGAGAAGCTTAAAGCATCTGAAAGTTTGAACTCAGAATTGTGTAGGGCTCTGGATGCACTAAAGGCTGACTGTCTAGAATCCTCGAAGATGAATGAAGATCTAGAAAAGAAGATAGTTGAAATATCGAGAGAGAATAAAACTCAGAACAAGGAAAATGAACGCCTTCAAGAACCGAACATGAATTTGGTGGGCGAATTAAATAAATTGCATGAAGAAATTGAAGAGCAACGAGTCAGAGAAGGCTGCCTAAGTTCGGAGCTCCAGGAAAAAGACTATGAGTTTGGATTATGGGAGGCAGAAGCAGAAACAGTTTATTTTGATTTCCAGATTTCCTCCATTCGAGAAGTGTTACTGGAAACCAAGATGGATGAGTTAACTAAGTTTTGCGGGAGGGTCGAAGGTGAAAATGCTTCCAAAAGCTCGGAGATTGAGCAGGTGAAAGGAAAAATCAATAAAATGGAGAGAGAAATGGGAGAACTGAAGTTGCAATTACATGCATATGCTCCTGCAATAGCCTCTTTGAGGGATGATGTTGTATCACTTGAGCATAATGCGCTCCTCCACACGAGGCTTAAGCAAGCTGGCTCTCAGGAATCAAAGGTAATGTAGTTTCTACTACTAACTGATGTACATGTTTCTTTTATTCTCATACTTACTGCAACTGATGATATTTCTGTTATTGGGCCTGAATGTAGCTCAAGCCTTTAGGGTTTTAACATGACCTTTGCTTTAAAACATCAGTGGTTTGATTGCTGTGTGAAGTCGAGGTTTGGATAAAATCTCCTGATATATCCGGGAACTATTCTTAGCATATGTTTGTTATACTTTGAATACTATTCTTAGTCAGTATTTTCTCTTTGAAATTCATCCTATTGAGGCTTCATTCTTCAGAGCAATTTCCTGTGTATGGTATCTCGTCTCTTAGGGATAGACTGATTTGTTTGCTTGACTTAGACTCATGACCTGCATCTAGATTGTTGAAGGAGATCTAGCTCAACAATGTTAATTTTAACATTGGGTTTGTAACACAAAAGGGTGTGGCTTAGTGGTATATGAGGTAGGTGCAAACCTTAGAGACTAGGGTTCAAATCCCAGCAGAGAGAAAAAGGATTTCTTTCCATCTGCCTAAGCCTTGATGGGCAGAGTTACCCGGTTCCTGTGCTGGTGGGAGATAGCACATACCCGGTGAGGATTAGTCGAGGTGTGCTCAAGTTGGCCTTGACACCACCATTATCAGGGGAAAAAAACATTGGTTTCGTGTTGCCCAGTTGACTTGTAAGAATATTCTATGGACTTCTTTTTAGAAGTACATCGGGAATATATGAGAATCATTCAAAACTACTTTTCTACCTAGAGAGTTTGTGATCAGCTGCAATTTTCCTGTTGAAATTTCTTTTTTCTGCATATATTTGCAGTGTGTTGATGACGTGGTTCATCCTGATGAGAGTAGCGACGGAAAGCTGATAGAAGATCAACCTGTCATGACAAAAGACATTCTAGATTTGTGGGAGCTGAGGAACAGGATTAAAGCTGTTGAAAAAGTAGTGGAAGAGGGGAACAAGCCTATTTTGGAGGTATCTTCATACAACAAGTTTGGTCTAGACAGTGCTGGAAGCGAAATTGAGGCATTAAAATCTCGGCGTAGTTTTGATCTAGAGAAACATGAACATGCAGAAAGGAGGAGTCCGAGCATTGAACATGGTGATGTTCCTAATAGGCAAAAGATGAAACCCAAATCCTTTGACGGCCGAAACAGGATACGAATGAAAGATATACCACTTGATCATGTCTCTGATGGCTCACCACAAAGAGCTAGAAGAAGAGGTTTTTCTGAGGCAGACAGAGCAGTTGATCAGATGCTTGAGCTATGGGAAACCACAGAGGGATGCAGCCCCAATCAAAGTGTGAAGGACTTGAAGAAACGGGCAAATTACCCAACAGAGGGTACTACAGGGTACAATCAATTTAAAGATTTGGATTGGAGGAGCAATCATCCAACCACAGAAGCAGAAATGGAAAAAGAGTTGGGTGTTGATAAGTTAGAGTTATCAATGAAGTCCTCTGATGCAAGTCATGAAACAACCAAGCAGATTCAGGAGCGACTTGCTTCTGATGCTGAGAAATTGATGAGTCTTCAGATGACTGTTGATAACATGAGAAGGAAATTGTATACTAACAGAAAGGCTAGAAAAGCCAAAAATGTTGATTTTGAAGCAGCAAAAGAACAGTTACAAGAAATTGAGCTAACGGTTGTTCAGCTGGTCAATTTGAACGCCCACTTACTGAAGAATGTAGAAGAAAGCACACTTCTTACAGGAAGTACTTCAGCGGAATCAGAAGAGGTCATGAATATCAAGCGCAAAAGAGTTTCAGAGCAGGCGAGAAAGGTTTCTGAGAAGGTTGAACGACTACAATTGGAGGTTCAAAAACTTCACTACATGTTACTGAAACTGGATGATGAAAAGAAAAGCATAGCCAGAAGCAGATTTTCCAGGAGCAACGCAGGTATTGTATTGAAGAACTTCATCCATATTGGGAAGAGAAATAGTGAAAAGGGAAAGAAGGTCCATCTTTGTGGATGCTTTGCACCTTCAAGTAGCAGCAGCAATAGATACTACATCTAATATGCTTCTAACCTTTTTCAGCTTCTTCAGAGGTTCCTAGTTATTGAATTGTTAGGATCATTTCTTTTGTAGTCAGTAACCGAAAAACTGATCCGTGTTCAGTTCTAAATGAATTATAACAGCTAGATTGGAGCTAATTCCTAATTAAGTTTGTGAAGGCTACTATTTTTGTTGTTCAGAGCCGCTAGTTATTGGTAAATAATCTAGGTGTTCAACAGTAAAGCTATTAGCTTTAGCTTGTGCGTTTAGGAGCTTCTGCAAAAGGGTCCCTGCAATTTATAGATTTTAGAAGTTTGCGAAACGGCCGTCACCCATACAATTTACTCCCCCGGGTTCATAATAAGTGACCAATTTGCTTTGAGCACACCCATTAAGGAAATACTAAATTCTAGACGAAAATAGTTAGTGTGACTAAACTACCATTCATTAAATATCGCACCATAGTTATAGTCGCACTTACTTCTCTTCTCAAATGTGACGAGTAAATGACTTTTTAGGGATACGTACATAAGGGTAATTTTGAAAAAACAAAAGGAATTTTTTCTTGATTATATAAATGGATACTTATTTTGGACCAAAATTAAAAAAGCAAATTGGTCCTTATTATGGACCGGAGGGAGTATTGTCTTTGTTTGACTTGGCACAAACATTAATAAAGAATGGAAAACTTATAAGATATGTGGTCTTGCATTTGTGTAACCGTAAAACTTTTGAAACTCGTGATCTAAAACCAGTCATAGCATTTGTGTGGCTATAGAAAATATTGAAAAATGTCAATCTTTTTGGAACAAATATTTTTGAAATAGAGGAAGTATTAGCTTAAGTTAGGTGACATGAGCTGATACTTCTAAAAAGGAGATTGTGTTTTATTCCCTTTCCCCATATTCCTATTTTTAATAACCAATTCTTTTTATGATTTACATACAAAAAGCAAGTTCCTTTGTTGCAAATCTGTTTATTCCCTTGACCGGGCCATACACAATTAGCTTGACATAGAGTCATAGACAATAGCACATGTCAAAGAACAAGTTGAATCGACTAGCTAAATGTTTGTTTTAACAATAACAAGTCCCAAATAAGTACTCTTAATTCTCCATTTGTTTTTATAAATATTCGCATTACTCCATCTGAAAGTTATTAGAGATTCTATACTATAGTTTTACTGAGAGTAAATGCTCAGTAATATAAACAATTATTCGGCAAGCTAAAAACAATTTTTTTCCTCTTACAAAAAACATAATACTAAAAAAAGTACACATAACTACAACTTTTAACAATTTAAGGTGATGATACTAAACTACTAATCCTACCAAGCAATTAAATCTAATTCTAGATAATCAAAGTAATGAGATGAGTCAGCTCTTATTATTATTTTTATTTCCATTTAGTTATCGAAAAAAAGGCAAGAGATAAGGAAAACGCAGACAAAATAAATCAATAATCACCAAGAATTGTGCTGAGATGAATGTGATTCCCTCACACTTAACCGGAGTTCTTGGTACGAACCCTGAAAATAATTTTTCTATTGTAGGACTGTCTTCCCTCTTTAATGGGTCCCGCACGGTGCAAATCGGCACGCCGGTAATTACTAGACACAGAATTGGAAATAAAAGAACTAAACAATAAAATAAATCAATAGCAATACTTTTTCTTATTTATAAAAAGAAAAAAGCAATAGAATCTTTTGTCTAATAAGTGAACATTTTACCTTTTTATTTTGATCCAAAATAAGTGACCATTTACATAATCAAGAAGGAATTAATTTTATTTTTTTAATTTTTGCCCTTATTTACATATTTCAATGTGTAAAATAATAATTAATTATGGTTAGTTAATGTATATCTTTTTTTTCCTAGGAATTCGTATTTAAACTAAACTGGTATAGTAATTCATAAAAGGGTCCATCACAAATCTGTGTATGTAACATGTCACCATCATTTATTTGCATTCACTAATTTCAGATTTGTCATTATTCATTCATAATTCACAAAATCTAACTAGTAGTAGAGACACAAGCAAACGTCTGGCACACAGAAATGGCGTCCGTCCATTGTTATGCTCGTCCATTCCAAGCCGTTCTAGGGTTTCAGCGTCCCCTTCACAGGCCTCAAACTTCCTTCGTTACCTTCCTCAGTCCGAGCCACGGTGCTTTCCCTGCCCACTTCAATTTCAGGTACAAATGCTCCAATTTTACACTCTTATAGACTCAAAATTATTTCTTTTACTTGCTCTTTAGTCTAAATTTTGTAGTAATTCTAGCATTAATGGGTTGTTCATTGGTGACATACAATACCTTCTGCAGCTAGTTAAATGACCAACTGGGTGAGAGTGTGCGTATGGAGGGAAGGGAAGTGAAGTGAGTGTGTGTGAAATTTTTTAATACAGGTGGTGCCAGAACCAGTTTACGCGCAATTTAGTTACTTCAACGGGTGCTTGCGTCCTCCCACTACGGTACTAGATAAATTTGCCCATCAAGGCTTAAACAGATGAAGAGAAATTATTTAACCTTTCTATCTTTGCAGGGATCGAAACCTAGACTCCGTTAATCTTCTTTCCAGCTTCCTCGATTACTAGGGTGCTAATGTTTGAACTCACATTATTTGCACGACTCTTTGGCTTCCTACACAATGTTTTTGCTTTGTGTATAGAAGTTTTCCTTGTTTATCCTCCCTATATAACTATAGTTCAACAATCAATGGTTCTTCCTCCATTCCATTTTATGTTATGTAGTTTGACTGGGCACGAAGTTTAAGAAAGAAAAACTTTTGAAACTTCTGGTCCAAAACAAGCCATGGATATTTGTGTGGCTATGAATAATCTCATTAAGACTAAAATGAGAAGTTTGAAATCAAACTGTTTTTACATATAAAAAGGTATCGTTCTTTCTGGGACGGACTAAAAAGGAAAGTGCATCACATAAATTGGAATAGAGGAAGTAATAAATACTATGTGCACCATTAGAAACGGACTGCATAGTAGTGAAGGCTTTTGAATCCTGTTGTTCAGTTCAGTTGTAAGGTTTGAGAATATGCTAGGATTTATAAATCTGCTAAAATCGATCTCAAAGGCGTTCTCTCTCCTTCACCACAGAATTGTTTGATGTAAAACCACCTCTGGGCGGAACAAAGAGAAATTGTCAAAAGGTACTTGAATTAATGACATTGTATGGTTTCTGGAGAAGCTTACTATGACATGAAGTAATTCCGATTTCCAATCATGTTATTGTGGTGAATGAAGTTGCCACTTCTTGACATTGGAGAACTTGCATTACTTCGCCATGCCTTAAAAGGTCTGTAGCTGTTTTTACTATCCAGGCCTTGGAAATCTTCTGCAAATTTTATTATTGGATTGGATGCTTGAAAATAGAGGTCCCCCTTTTTTTTCAGTATATGTTTTCCAAATCTGTACGTACAACGTATAGTGTCTCACTTCCCTGTTTTATGGGTGTGTGGAGCTCTACAAGAAGGACAAAAAGTACAGGCCTATGTTGCTCGAACTCTTCAAATATGCAGCCAGATGCATGTTAGATCCTCCACTAGTAGTGTATTTTTGAAGGATCCGACACGGGTTCAGAAGTATTTTTGGAGAGTCCGAGCAACATAGGCGACAACTGATGTCTCCTAAGCACAACTTCAGTGGTTTATGATATCATTTTAGTTGTACTTAGATGTGCTGTGGTCAAAGGATGTTACAATGTTTTGGTTGTCTGTTTTGTTGTTCAGATTCAATAATGCTGTGAGTGTGCAGCTAAAGCAGAGACTACTACCTATATCAGCATCAAACAGCAATTCTTCCGGAGGATCAGACAAAAGCAGTGATGCATCAGGCCCTCCATTAGCCACCATTTTGGCTGGTGTCTTCGTCTTTTGTCTGGTTTCTTGGATCGTAGGTTCTGTTGTGATGTGGCTTATTAGTCTAATTACCAATGTCCCGCCATTGAAATAAAACCGGAACATGTGCTGTAGTTTGCCCTTTGTTCAGTAGCTAGACAAACCCATCTTTAGGCAGCAGCCTAATTATGATGCTTTCCTTTGTGTTACCGAGCATGACATTAAAACGGAGTTGCTTATTTGTCTTGCTTCTAAAAGACTCTACTTTGTCAACAGTATTTCTGTTAATGCAGAGGACATTTGTGGAGTTGAAAAACCATATTAGCTCTAGCACTCTCACTTGTTAGCTCAAATGGTGTAATACTCTATTTAGAGCATACCAAGAAATTTCACTCGCAACCCTTTTCATTTTACAGTTTTTTTTTAAGTGGATAGGAGGTTTATCCTACATTGAAAGGGAGAAACCGATTCAGCCTCGAGATTTTGCCAATTTATTCTCGGCTCAACCGTTCATGGTTCTTCTTTCATTTTGATCACTCAACTGCTTGAATGTTTTGTTTAATATAAAGACGTTTCAGAGTCAATTATGTATTGGCTGCTGATGCTTGGATACCCAATTGAATACCCTTGCAGCTTAACTCATGGTTAACTTCTGGAGTTCCACCATACAATCATTCTGTATACCGTTGAGCTCCTTTCTCTGCTACTATTTGCCTCGTAATGAGGTTCTTGTTCTTTTTCATTTTTAAGGAACGGAAAATGTCCAAATTTGTCCCTCAACTATACGAAATGGTTTATATTTATCCTCGGTTAATAGTTATGGTTAAATATGTCCTCGTTGTTATTGAAATGGGCCAAATTTACCCTTATGTGCAAACGGAAAAGTGGAAAACTAAACCTACTCATTTTACCACGCGTGCGTGGCTTAAAATTAAACCTACTCATTTTACCCGAGATTGAATGGTTAACTTAACAGCCCAACTTGGTTTTCCCCCTATTCCCCTCCCACAAAACATCTTCGGCGAATAGCCTTTGTCCACAGCAACATGTTTGTCGTGGAGTTAATCTTCTTGGCACCAAGTGTAGAAGAAAAACCAAGAAATTACGGAAGATCGAACTAGTTCTTGCATATGTGATAATGGGTTCGATTTAATTTATTTTAGAATCTCCTTTTTTTTTCAGTATCTAATTTGTTGAGTGAATTTGCTTATATTGGTTCCTGATCTGCATATGCTTGTATTTGGTGATATATGTTTGTTTTGGTCAAAAATCCTGCAAAAGCATTATAGGTGCAAAAATCTTTTCTTTTACTTCTTCGTCGATACTCGATAGTCATGATTGCTACCAAGGAAAGCTCACAGAAAACACT